TTCTCTCCCCCATCCCACTGAGGGGGGAAGTGAATGAGCAGCTGTGTGGTATTTAGCTGCCTGCTGGGTTAAACCACAACAGTCATTCAGGGAAAGCTCAACTGTACCTGTAATCACAGAAATGGAACAAAAGATCTTTAGGGAGCATGTACAGAAAAGAACTAATTAGTTTTGTCTATGGAGGTGTTATTTCAGTATATGGCAAAACAGGCTTGATTGTTTGGACTATGCAGTACAAGAAAAGCAGCTTTTATTCTTTTCATGCTACTGAAGTAAGCAGGTAATTCTTTTTTGGGTTGAAACTGGAATAGTGCCTCTCTCGCTACCATTTTCCAGTTAACAGTTCTATTTATTTAAGACCTTATTGTCATTCAAAGATCTTATTGTGTGTTAGATACTTACTTTCTCTCCAAAAAAGATGCTTCGCTAACTTTGCTATTGTCATTCTGTCATACTTCTACAAGTGTATGCTAGAGATTCTGAGTAAACATCGAGATATGTAACTCAATGTTTCCCTAACCTCAGGGAAAAAACTAAATCCTTTCAGGTTTTGAAGGCATACTTTGCAATTTGGATTGATGACTGCTACAATTTCTATTTTTTCTAATGTACGGCCATTGTAAGAGAGTGCAGCTGGTAGATACGTAACATGTTTTCCTCTTACTACTTCAGTATCTTGTACGCAGAAATACTATTTGATATCTAAAGTAACATATTAATATTTCTCTGTATTTTTATCTTCAGTTTGGAAGACTGCTTGACCTGTGTCATCCTATTCATAAAAAATACCAGCTTGCTGTTACCAAAGTATTCAGCAGATACATGACTGCTATTGTTGTTGCCACTGAAAAAACAGCAAGAGATTGCATTCGGTTCCTAAAACAAGAACGAGCTGAACCTGAAACTTTTCTTGCTTTGGATTACCTTGATGTAAGTACATTTTTCTTTTTCCTGTCATCAGCAAGTTAATACAGTAAGTTAATAATGTAAATCTAGATATTGGCTCATTTAAGCTTAACTAAAATAGGCTTAAGTGTTAAGGCAAAGCACTTAGGAGGTGAACTTCATGAGGTTCTTGTTGGCCCATTTCTCCAGCCTGCAGAGGTTGCTCTGGACAGTGTGACCCTCTGGCGTATCAGCCATTCCTCCCAGTTTTGTGTTATCAGCAAACCTGCTGAGGGTACATTCTCCCCCATCATCCAGATAATTAATGAAGATGTTAAGCAGGATTGGTCCCAGTATTGACATGGCTAGTTACTAGCCTCCAACTGGACTCTGTGCCACCAGTCACCACCCTGTGGGTCTGTCTGCTCAGCCAGTTTTCAGTCCACCTCACAGTCTGTTCATCCAGCCCATATTTCATCAGCTTCTCTGTGACGATCTTATGGGAGACAGTGTTGAAAGACTTACTGATGTCTAGGTAGGCAATATCCACTGCTCTCCCCTTGTCTACCAGACCAATCATTTTGTTGTAGAATGCTACATGACCAGCTTGGTGAATCCATGCTGACTGCTTCTCCAAGACTTTTTTGTGGTTCATGTGCCTGGAAATGGTTTCTAGGATTAGTTGCTCCATCACCTTCCCAGGGATCAATGTGAGACTGACTGTCCTGTAGTTCCTTGGGTGCTCTTTCTTGCCCCTTTTTGAACACAGGGGTGACACTTGTTTTTCTCCAGTCCTTAGGCACGTCTTTCTGTTGCCATGATCGCTCAAAGATTATTGAGAGTGGCCTTGCAATGACATCAGCTAGCTCCTTGAGCACTAGTGGTTGCATCACATCAGGGACCAGGCATTTATGTAGGTCCAGTTTGCTTAAGCATTGCCCGACCTGATACCTTTCCATCAAGGGTACGTCTTCCTTTCCCTCTGGTCTCTCAAACCCGGGATTCCTGGAGGCCTTACTAGTAAAGACTGAGGTGAAGAAGGAATTCAGTACCTCAGTCTCTTCCACCTCCTGTGTCACCAGGTCCCCTGTGTCATTCAGCAGCAGGCCTATATTTTTCCTAGTCTTCCTTTTGTCACCTAGGTACTTACAGAAGCCATTTCTTTTGACATCCCTTGCCAGATTAAATTCTAGTTGGGCTTTGGCTTTTTAGGAAAACCATATCTGCATGCTTGGACAGTGCCTCTATATTCCTCCCAGGCTACCTGTCCCTGCCTCCACCTTCTGTATGCTTCCTTTTTTGTGTTTGAGTTTTGCCAGGAGCTCCTTGTTTATCCATGCTGGCCTGCAAGCATTTTTGCCTGACTTCCTGCTCATTGGGATGTTAGCTCTTAAGGCTAGAGGAGGTAATCCTTGAATATTAACTAGCATTCTTGGGCCCCTCTTCACTCTGGGGCCTTATCCCATGGGACTCTACTGAGCAGATGTTTGAAGAGGCTAAAGTCTGTTCTTCTGAAGTCCAGGGTTGTGAGCTTGCCTTTTGCCCTGCTCCCTCCTCTCAGGATCCTGAACTCTCCTATCTCATGCTCACTGCAGCCAGGGCTGCCTTTGACCTTCCCATCCCCGGCAAGCTTCTCCTTGTTGGTGAGTATGAGGCCTAGCAGAACACCTCTCCTCATTGACTTCTCTGTCACTTGGGTGAGGAAGTTGTCATCAATGCTTTCCAGGAACCGCCTGGATTGCTTATGCCCTGCTGTGTTGTCCCTGTAGCAGATACCAGGGTGGTTCAAGTCCCCCATGAGGACCAGGGCCTGTGAATCTGACGCTGCTTTTAGCTGTCTGTGGAAGGCCTCATCTACTTGTTCTACGTGGTCAGGTGGCCTGTAGCAGACACCCACTACCATGTTACCTTTACTAGTTCTCTTTTCAGTCATTACCCATGAGCTCTCACTTGGCTCATCATTCTTTCCCCAGGGAGAGCTCCGTGCATTCCAGCTGTTCTCTCACATACAGGGCAACTCCACCTCCTTGTCTTCCCAGCCTGTCCTTCCTAAAGAGCCTCTACCCCTCCATTGCAACACTCCAGCTGTGGGAGCTATCCCACCATGTCTCCCTGACCCCCAAGAAGATTGTAGCCCTGCAACTGCACACATATCTTTAACTCATCTTGTTTATTCTCCGTGGTACATACATTAGTGTACTTGCATTTTATGCACAGTGAAATAGGTTATACAGATTTAAGGACTATAGTATACACAGAATATGAAAACCAGATCTGTTTCTAGTCTTGTAGCAACTGAGAGCCCCATTCTGTCGATATGTCTGTCCTGTCCCCAGACCACTCAGATTTGGACATGCTTTGCTATTACAACATGGATTCTAAACACCGCTTATTTGCTTTACAGGTTAAACCAATCAACGAAAAGTTGAGAGAGATAAAAGGAGCTAAAATGATGGTGGATGTTGTACAAACTCCATTTGCTCCACTGAAAAAAGTGATTCAGTTTGTGAGTGGGAATGGCTTGGTCTGTGAAACAGTTAAAGAAGCAAAACAAATAGCATTTGATGGACCAGTGAGGTTGAAAGTAAGAAGCTAGATTTTTGTTGCATGTGTTTCATTGCAGTTATGTGTTTGATGCCATTTAAATAATGCTTCTATAAACATCCCATTAAGTATTGCAGCTAAACACAGAATGGTACTGTGCTTTGTAGTCTATTCCCACAAAAATAAACCCCCAGATACTTCACATGGTTGTATTTTCCTCTGTACGGTAGTATGTTTAAGTGATTTCCTGGGAAAAGGAGGCAAATTAGAGGATAGTTAGTGTCCAAATACGTTTCTTGGTATGGTCCTCTTGATGAAATGGAGGAGGAGGAAGGAGGGATAATACTGTTCTTAAAACTGTCTGATACAAAAATACAAACTTTATCTTGCTAGCTTTTCTATGAAAAAATGCTTTCAAAAATTCTTTAAAATATCTGCCAGAATCTCTTAGTTGTAGATGTAGACTGTGTTGAGGACTGGAAGCTTCTCTGTCTCTTCCTGCAGTTCTTTCTTTTTATCCATATCTCTATTGCTGTCACAGTCTGTAGAGCCCTTTTATGCATTTAGTAAACCTTTTAAAATCTTGATTAAAACAGCTTTAAGTTGAAGGTGAGTGTGAAATCATGTTTTTTTGGAATCCAGTTAAGTCACAAAAACAGCCAAGTTCTTTACTAAAATTTACACTTTCCATTTACAAATGAGCTGTTTTCCTTCACTCCATTATGACATTGCTTGGTTTGCTCTGCTGAGCCAGACATAACCTTATAAGTTGTCAGCGTATACACAAAAGTCTCATGTTAACTTCCTAAATACAATTTCATTTCCTTTTCTGATCAGTTGTCATACCAAAATGTGACTGGTGCTAAGAAACAACAGACTTTTTTTGTGGCTTCCTGTATCTCATGTTAGCAGGCTTGGAACAGGAAAAAAAATTGGAGTCCAACTAAAATGTGGTTGTAGCTTGTTTAACTACCACATCTTGGTGCACTAGTTCATGGGATATTTTGGCTGCTTTGTGTTCAGGTTTATTTGATTTTAATTTTTTTATTTTTCTTCCAGACAGTGGCTCTTGATGGTACTTTATTTTTGAAATCTGGAGTGATTTCTGGAGGATCAAGTGATTTAAGACTTAAAGCTAGATGTTGGGATGATAAAGAAATGAAAAAATTGAAAGAAAGAAGAGATAGCTTGATTCATGAGTTAAAGGTAGGTCTCTTAAAAAGCACTTAACTGCAAAAGGCATAAAGGAGTAAAAGTTGTATCTAATTTAATTCAGCTATGGGAAGATGATTTTCTAAAAAGATGATTTTCAAAACTTCTAGAAGATGCAGACAGGTCATAGTAACTGTTTATCCCCTTCTAGTTAATATTAATCAACTGTGGGTCTCTGTCCTTAGCTGGCGGGTTCGTTCACATATCGCAAAGGTGGAAGACCAGGACAACACTGTTGATAGAGGTTCCTTCAAGGTTAAAGAGCTGTGGTTCAAAGTACCTGAAGATTTTTAGTGAAAAAGATGGTACATTCTATCAACATGAAAATATTTGCATGGACCAAAACCTATCAGTGTAAAACGATATGTCACACCTCTAGTTATTTTGGAGAAGGGATAGAGTAGGAATTTATGAATTTGCAAGCATATGCTTTCTTTTGAGAAATAAATCTCTTAGAAAATGACTATTGAATATGACCAATGCTATCAGCATTTACCTTGAATGGGGCCTGTGTCAGTGAGGCTAGCTTTATGTAGTGCATGAATCTGAAAAATGAGTAATTCCCAAATCAGTCACCTTTTGTTTAAAATGGTTTTTCTCTTCTCCCATTGTAATGTTTTTCTAGGACTTAATGAAGATCAAACGTAAGGAGACTGACTTGAAGCAGTTGCATGCTCAAAGCCACGGAACTCAGACGCGACTTAAATATTCACAGAGTGAATTAGAGCTTATTAAAAAGAAACATCTTGCTAATCTCTACACGGTACAGTAATTTTCATGTTTAATGATTGTATTTTTTTACCTAAGCTGTAATTACCGATGAAGTAAATACTACTTCCTTACGTAGTTTTTTTAATTCAATTTAACTTTTACATACAGCAATTATGACTGAGGAATTAATAAAATATAAAAACAAGATTACAAAGTAATTTACATCAGGCTTTTTCTATTTACGTTTTAAATTTGAATTTCTGGTAAGCTTGGTTTATCATTTAGTAACCTTCAGAAGTCTATAAGTCAAAATGCACTTTAAATGATACTCATTTAATTTGCTTTTCTGCTCATTAAAACTGTAATCATTGCACGCAAATCAGCAATAGTAGTGGGTAAGTAGCATTTGAGAAGAAAGTGTGTAATGTTTGTAATCAGAAAAATACAGTTAATCTGGAACAGAACTCTGTTAATTTCTAGAAAGTTGACCATCCTATTAAGAAAAATTACCATCTTCTTCCTTTCTTTCTATCTAGGAAAAATCAAAACTGGAAAGTGAACTGGTAAATATTGAGTCTCAGTATGATATGCTGAATGAAGGAGTAGCACAAAGAAAAGAAAAAATAGAAGAATTTCAGAAAAAAATTAATGAGGTAATGCCTTCTGTCATAGTTGTGACAGCATATGCTGTTACACTACAGAAACTTC